CAATAGTCCAGCCTGGACAGAACAAGAGCTTGAACAAGGAGTTGTGAAGCATGTTCTGAAAGAAAGGGCCTGATCTTCTTGGTGTTGAATAAAGCAAATCTGCAGGAGCGGGCAGTTTTAGCAATGTGGTCTGAGAAAGTAAGCTGATCATCAATCATAACTCCAAGGTTTCTGGCTGTTTTTGAAGGAGTTATGGTTGATGAGCCTAACTGGATGGTGAAATTTTGATAAAGTGTCTTAGCCAGGTTGAGTTGAAGGTGATGGTCCTTCATCCAGCAAGAAATGTCTGTTAGACAAGCTGAGATGCGAGCAGCTATCGTCGGATCATCAGGATGGAATGAGAGGTAGAGTTGAGTGTCATCAGCAGAGCAGTGATATGAAAAGCCATGTTTCTGAATGACAGATCCTAGTGATGCCATGTAGACAGAGAAGAGAAGTGGTCCAAGAACTGAGACCTGAGGCACCCCAGTAGCTAGATGTTGTGACTTGGACACATCGCCTCTCCAAGATACCTTGAAGGACCTATCTGAGAGATAAGACTCAAACCACTGGAGTGTGGTTCCTGAGATGCTCTTTGCCAATAGGGTTGACAGGAGGATCTGGTGGTTAACCGTGTCAAAAGCAGCGGACAGATCCAGCAAGATAAGTATTGAAGATTTGGAATCCACTCTTGCCACGCTTCAACAAACAATCACTACTCACTACTAATTCTAATTAATCTAAACTACTAATCACTAATTCACTACTCACAAACAATCCTTTGCATATGAATGAAGAACTTGTTCACTGCCACATCAGTCCACTTCAGTCACACTGATAATTCCAATCAAACGTAGGAACCATCAATCAGTCAATCCAACCAAAATTCTACATGTCAAGGAGATGGATTACATGCACAACACTAGTCACTGCTTCCACAGACGAGGCTTAAGGCTGGTCCCAGAATAAAATGCATGTTTGAGTTGTCCTAGCTAAAGGATCTTAAAATATGTCAGTGATATTGTTTTGTCTCAAGATGCACACCAGTAATGTTGTTTTTTTTTTCGAAGTCATTTTATAGAAGCCGTTTAAATACCCTAATTTAAGTAAGGCCTAGTCTTGGTTTAAGCTAATCCCTGTCTGTGAAACTGGGCTTAGGTGTTTTATGCTAGAGTGAAGCTTTGCATCACTAGCACCGTTTGCAGACCTCACTACATCCCCACATAACCTAATCTAAGTTAAATTTCACAATTTTAACTTTTGTAGAATTAATTAACATTTTAATTCTACTTGGTTGTAAATTAAAACCATTTTATGAGCAAATGAACAAATGCAGTCTGAAGATTTACTTCATATAAATGCCTTTTATTTGTCATTAGTAATACTTATTGTTGCAAGGTCCCCACAAATCACGGGAATGTGTGTGTATTATGCAAATGATATGCATATAATATGCAAATTTAGTCCCTGTAAGTCATGTTCATCCGATTTTTCAGAAGTTCCCATTAAGCGTGGTCAAGTCATTACTTCATTAATTCAGGTATCTGAAGTCGTGTATAGACTAACAAAGCTGTGGTTAGTGTCCCTAATTTTTTCAGACCTCTAAACCCTTTAGAAGTGATGATTATAAAGTTGGTCCCCATCGAACATGGAAACCAGTGTGTGTGTGTGTGTGTGAGAGAGAGTGAGTGTGTGTGTGTGTGTGTGTTTGTGTGAGAGAGAGAGAGAGAGA